CCTCTATTGGTTGGAGATGTGCTTCTAATAGAGCAAATACAGCACACACACCTCTATTGGTTGGAGATGTGCTTCTAATAGAGCAATTACAGCAAACACACCTCTATTGGTTGGAGATGTGCTTCTAATAGAGCAAATACAGCACACACACCTCTATTGGTTGGAGATGTGCTTCTAATAGCGCAAATACAGTACATACACCTCTCTATTGGAGATGTGCTTCTATTAGAGCAAATACAGTACATACACCTCTATTGGAGATGTGCTTCTAATAGAGCAAATACAGTACACGCGCTTCTATTGGAGATGTGCTTCTAATAGAGCAAATATGGTGTATATATTTCTACTGACTTTTCCCGCACACATTGATATGACGCTTGTGCACTTGTTATGAAACAAGTACTACATTATTGGTATAATTAACACATATCTTTAAGACAAGCATTAGTCAAACTGGAAGCACACGAAAAATTTGTAATCCCTGATTACACCACATTGTGTGTTATATAAAAACTTTAGGTGGGCTTAAAAAGACAAGATTGTATAAAAAACACATAAATAAAGATCCGCATAGTAGTTAGCATTTACAAAGTAGAAGTTGTCACTGACTGAATTATATTTTCTGCATAATACGAAAAAATATTCAAATGCATGCCAGAGATTTGGTTCCGAAATGATCTCAGTGGAATTTGAACGTGATTGATCCAGTATGTCTATGTCTGATAATGATGTAGATGCACAGAGGTCAATCTATAAGTCCCATTTTTCTTCCTTATTTGAATGGGGACTGAAAAACAACTGAATATTAAAATTTCCTTGATCAATTCTGTGAGCTTGGCAAGGCTGTAACTGGTAAATCAGCTGATCGGGTTAATAAAAGTATTGATTTTTTTCTGTTAGAAATATAACATTCTACACAACAATTAGATAATTAAGTTGGAATTAATAATAGTTTTTCTCGAAGTATGCAAAATAATTGGATATTTTCATATCTATAGTGTCTACATTATATATATCGGTAATAAGAACCCATAAAAACATTTAAGTACAACTCCTGAAAAAGTGGAATGGTCACAGTCATGACAATGTCATAGGTGTGGGTGGACACAAACATATTAGTTATTCACACTGGAATGTCTCTTTTTGTAATTAAAACAAAAAAATCCACATATAAAGTACATTTTACATCGTTTTAAGCATCACCCCAGCCTTTTTTTGGATGACTAATAATGTTG